CATTGTAATCCATAAGTCGTACTTTGGAAATTTATATGCATTAAATAAAAGTTAAAAAAAAAAAAAAAAAAAAAAAAAAAAAAAAAAAAAAAGAAAGGTAAGTTTAGTTTGGGGCAAAAAATGTCGAAGTCCATGCTTTTTCATAATATACATTTTCCATGAATTTTTTGAAGACCCCCTCATATGCATGGATTTCAATACTTTTTTGAAGCAAAACAAGCTTAGTTTCATTTTCCATGAACTTTTTGAAGTACTCTTTTATTTGCCTGAGGCACTAAACAGAGCAGACGCCTGTACATGTAGCTTCCTTTGATTCAATTCCTAATTCCTAAGATGTGGCTGTGAGCTCGGGGATAAGAAGATGGGTACAGCAGCAGACCCCACGGGAGCAGCCGTGCAGAGCCACATCCAGATATCTGCACTGTCCACTGACCACAGGTGACAATTTTGGCAAGTGACTTCATCTTGCCCAGCCTCAGTTTCCCCTTCTGAAAAGTGAGGACACTAAAGTCTATGCCCGTCTCAAAGAGTAAGCCAGGACATGCAAAGGAGGAGGCATGGTGCATTTACCAAGTGGTGGTTACTAGCGCTCCGGTCAGGCTCTGGTCGGGCTCTGGCCAGGCTCTGGCCAACAACAAGTAGGAAATACAGGTCCGAGATGGTAAGCCAGGGGCAGGATTATAACACAGGTCTGCACAGCCTTTATTCTGGCATGCCCACTTGTGTTCCCTCTCTTTCCACTGCTCCAAATGACCTCCAGGTTCAGCTCCACAAAACCGAGAAGTGGAGGCCTCCTCTCCTACCTGGGGGAGGGAACAGAATGTTCGGCCAGGGAGGGGGTGGCTTGCTTTTGTGTGGTTAACTTAGACTGGTCTAAAAGAAGGGGGTGGGAACAGAAAGGCTGGGTGAAGAATGCTAAAAACAGTTCAGCTCTTCCTCGTCAGTCCTTCATGGTGTGGGCACGTTATGTTTTTGGAAGCATTATGAATTCATGGATCATCAGACACAGTCATGTTCCAATGTCAAATGAAAATGATTTCTACATTGTACTCCATTTGGGACCACGGTGGCTCCGACTTCCTGCTGCTGGCAGGAAATTCAGACACCCAGCGTGGGCTCCGTGGTTCACCTGGAAGAGACTTTTGGTGAGTCTAGCATCCACGCCCCTCTCCCTTAGCACTGTGGGTAAATACAAGCAGGAAGCTTTTGGTTGTTACCAAGCCCAGGGGATTCTGTTGCAATTCAGTGGCTGTGGCAGCTAAAATGTATGACATGGACCAATCCCTTACAATGAAGAAATGTGCTGTCCAAAATACCCATAGGGTGCCCCACTGAGAAACTGGTTCATGGCAGAATGAAACCTGCAGTTCTGACCTGCCTGCAGCCAGGTGTGTCCCTGTGATCAAGTTCCTGGTGGGCCAGGAAGCTGAAAGCATCATCCTAGGGACAGAGCTGCGAGAGGCAGAACGAGCCTTCATAGCAGCTCACGCCTCAGTGTGAGGAGGGATTTTACCTCGTTTAAGTCACTGTCTGGAGGGCCTGCCTCACCTGAGCCCGCGTGCCACTAATTCAGTACATGAGCCAATATATCCCCCATCCTGCACCTTACTAACTTAACTGATGATCTGCGGTAGTTTCTAGATTTATTCCCTTTCATCTTTCCAGGCTAGTATTTTCTGGAACAGGGCATCAGTTGCCCCAATTTGTCACTCTGTGGGATTGGGCCTCCAGGAACCAGCACCAGCATGAAACTCTGGCTCTTGCCATTGTCGCAAGTGCTACACTGCGCTTCATCTCTGACCCGGGAGTCTCCTGTCCTCTACCGGAATCCGTGAGCCATGGCAGCCTGTGACGTGTTAACTTGCAGGTGGGTCAGATTTCAAGACCTTCATAATTCCTGACATTTCTCTGTCTCGGCCATGTCTTCCTTAGTTCCGGCCCCGGCATTTCTCTCTTGAACTCACACAACCACCTTCTAACTGGCCATCGTACTTCCGTTCTTGCATCTCTGACATCTAGCCACCAAACAGCCCAAATAATCATTAAACAACAAATCATGATCAAGTTGGCCGCATACCTCCCCTCAACTCAAAACTCTCCGGGGGCACCTGGCCTTTTGTAGCCCCTTAACACCTCGCCTCTGTGCTCTGCCCCCAACTCTGCAAGCCTGGCTCTTTCATCATCCTGGCCCCTGGAGAGCTACCTTCTCAGAAAGGGATTCCTTGACCTCCCTCTAAGAAATATCCCTGTTTTATTTTTTCATAGCACTTATGAGTCTGTTAAAGTATACATTTGTTTATCTTATTTGGGCTTTGTCTACTTGGGTCCTCTAGGGGTGTAGAGACCTTATCGATCTTGTTCATTGCTGTATTCCCAAATTCAAATACAAATATTTGTCTGACAAATAAAGCCTCGGTGAACACCTGCTGAATGAATGGATGAGAAATACTGATTTAAGGAGATATCAGTTGCTCCTCATGCAGTTTAGCCAAAATTCTTCGTGAGATCTGGAGCCCCGTTCAGTTCCACCACGGGCCAGCCTTTCTTCCCGGGCAGGCCTTTCTCAGTCCAGGAATCGGAGCCTGGAGGTGGTCCCTGGGCTAAGGATTCCCCAAGGCCAGGCGACACTGCAGGACAGAGGGGAAACGGGAGCATCGTACTCACTGACCGGACACTGTTGATGTCAGACTCATGTGTTTCGAAGGCCTGCACGCACTGGCCGGAGCGCATGTCCCACACCATGGCTTTCTTGTCACAGCCCTATGAATGCAAAGGTACCCAGAGTTACGGCCACTGCAGGGACCATCCAGGGAGGTGGAACGAGTCCCTGGCATGCAACAGAGACCATTCCTTCCCACTCTTCTGAGACTCGTGTTACCTAAGGCCCCTCTCCTCAACCACTGAACCCTTGGGAAGCCAGAATTAGGCCACAGAATGGGAGGGAGCAGGGCAGGCTGCCGCCCGCTTCAGTGTTCTTTCTTTGGATGCCCTTCTGAGCGGAGGCCACCCCGCCCCATCCAGCCCCGAGTCTGCCTTCTGCCTTCCTCCTGGGAATTTCCTCTCCTTTTTCCCTTCCTTCTTCTCTCCTCCTCCATCTGCTTCCTTAAGGTCAGGCAGGTGGATGGTGGTACGTGGGTGGGACACTCATGAGTGGGTTGCCAGTGCCAAAACTGAGCAGCCAGGAGCTCCAGCTTTGTGTGAGGTGCCCAGGGCTGCCCTGAACAAAGGTCCATAGCCATGTGCCTCTGGGCCACCTGCACCCTCAGCACCATGGCCCTCGCCACAGCCCTGCCATCCATCAGCTGGGAGGTTCAGGCAGGTCACCTTCCTGGGCCTCCACCTTGACACCTGTGAAATAAACGCTGTCCCTGGGTTGCTAACGTGACCCAAACATGAAGTTTTCTACCATCAGAGTTCCAGAGTGTTTCTGATAGATTCTGGCAAAACAGTCCTGTTATTAAGCTTATGCAGAAAACTGTAGGCTCTCAATAGTCACAGAAGAAATAAGGGCTTAAAATGAGTGTTCAAGTTGTCAATTCAACTCAGAGCCAATGGTGGAAGGAAGGACCATGGCTGACAGCACAGGAAGCCTCAACACCCTGGGGCCTGGGCCTCTGAGTGTCTTCACTGAGATGTGGTCAGAGAAATCCGGACGGTCCTCACATCTGCAGACACTAACCAGCACGGCGTTTAGTGCTCCGCAAGAGACAATGCACTGCACAGGGATGTGGCTAAGTCAAACAGCTAGTGTAGCCGAGGAGAAACACAGCTGCACAAAGGTACAGGGAGGGCACACAGACGGTCAAGAAAGCCGAGGCCACAGAGCCCTGGCCTGATTCCAGGACCGGGGCCCAGGCAGCCCAGCACAAAGCACCTGTGTCTCCCAGCTGCAGGAGTTCCTCCAGTGTGTGGGTCACCGTCCTGCCTCACCACTGTCTCCTGACTGGGGTGCCCCAGGACTGGGGGCCAGGTCAGCCCACTTGCTCCCCGCGTGGAGATGTTCAGCTCTCTGTTCTAGCTCCCGGGCCATCCACAGAGATTTTTATGCCTCCCACCTGGTGACAACAGAAACTCCCGCATTCACTGCTCACCATCCCCTGGTGAGAGCGATGGCAGGTATTGTTGGCCTTGGCCATCGTACCCAAGTGGTGGATGACAGCAGAGCTAGGCCCAGGGGCTTCAGGGCCTGGGCTAGGGCTCCCCTGCCTCTCCATGGCCACATTGGCTGACTTAGCCTTCAGGTAAGATGGGACTTTACAAAGCGTATTATTACAAAATTATGGCTGGATCTAAAAACACTTTGAAGCTTATCATTCAATTCCATATTTCCACAAACTTTCTGAAGTGGCCTCGTACTCTGTTCCCTGCTCCCTGGGGTGGCGGGGAGGGGACGAGTGGGGGAGTGTTCCGTAAGCCGCAAAGCCTGGATGGCTTAGTGCCATCGTCTCATCAGTGGCCCTGGGACCTGCTCGGTGCCCTGGGATCTGCAATGCTCTCAGAGGCTAAGTCGCTGCTATTTACTTGCAAGGTGACACCTTGCAACGTGGCAGATGTGCACCCTGCATGGCATCACTCACATGGGAGAACATTCCAGAACCTCGGTGGACTGTTGAGTGACAGCGGCAGAACAGAGGCAGCCCCTGTCAGGGCCTGGAGCCAGCGCCACCACGGCTGCAGGTACTGGGGGTGCCGTGGAGAGCTGAGGACAATTACTGCAGCCCGGATAGCAGCCGCCACCATAAGCCTCCAGAGTGGACAGAGACCCCCGTGGGGAGCCCATGGGTCTTTACCCCAGACACGAAGGTGTTGCCGGTCTCCGAGGGGGCCAGGTCCAAGCACAGGACGTCAGCCCCGTGGCCGTGGAAGCTCTGCAGCAGCTGCCCGCTCTCCACGTCCCACAGGGCGCATGTCCCATCGCCACTCGCTGTCAGGATCTGCAGTGAGGGGCAGGGGAGCCTGTCAGAGGCTTAGTGTGGGGCAGGGAAGAGCACGCGTGCACACACACACACGAGCACACACCCCACCCTTGCTCGATCTGGTTCAAACACAACTCTCTCCCACACGAACATACCCTCTTTGTCTCTAGGTCATGTGTTCGGGTATCAGTCCCCCTGGGGAGCTGGAGCCCCCGTGTCCTCGTGGTGGTACCTACGGGGCCCTACACCTGCCTGGCGTGTAGGATGACAGAACCTCTCACCGTTACCCAAGCCAGACACACAGAGGTTCTTGGACACCACGTACACAGAATCACTGGGCTGCCTGCCAACAGGAAGGGGCTGGGGCAGGGCCCACAAGCCCCCCGGTGACAGTGATGCTGGGCATTGGACCTCACTTGGGACAGAGGCAGCCAAGCGGCCTCTTGTTAGACACGCCCTCCTCCTGCTGCCTCTCTCCCAGAGCCTCCGAGGCTCCCCAGGGCCACTGGCTCCCACATGCCTGGCACAGACTCGACAGCCACTTGCTGCATGCTGACCACATCCGGCCACTTGGGGGCTTGCAGCAAGATCACGTCTTGGTCTCTGTTCTCCTGAAACTTGGGTGAATAGGACTGGCAGTCATACGGAGACCCATCTAATTCCCTGTTCCTGTGTTCACACAATCCTGGGGCCAGGCCTGCCCTCCTTGGTACCACGTTCAACAACACTGAGGCCAAGCCAAAACGACACAGCTGCTTGCTTTAGGAAGTATCTGCTCCTGGAGGAAAAGACCGTGAGCGAATCCAACAGCTGACTCATCAAGACCAGCAGCTTGCTCACTGCAAAACACTGCAGGCTCACTACCGCGTCCTAAACCAGTCTCCCACCTGCCCTGAAGTCCCACCTCCCACCACCCAGCCTGGCCTCTGAAACCCTGCATGCACACCCTTCCCTTATGTCTCCACTGTGAGGCACTACACAGGTTCCATGGAGTTCAGGATCTCCCTTAATGCAGGAGAGTTAATGGACTAAGCTTTGCTTGATGGCAACTTTTTCTGATGCTTGCTTGGGGACTGCACCTCAATTAGCAGGCAAGACCATGAAGAATTATCCTGCTGCGAGAAGTGCTACATTCCAGGGGTCCCAAACGCAGCGGGGCAACATCTGGGCTGATCTTAAAGGATGAGTGAGAGCTGGCCGTGCGGAGGGAAGGGGAGAGGAGGGTACTGTAGGAGAAGGCTGGGTTCGCACAGGGTGACAGGCAAGCCTGGAGGCGAGAGGGGGTACGGGAGGGCAGGTGTTTGTCATAGCTAAGATGCGGCTTTGGATGCCAACATTCCATATCAGAATGCCTGGGTTTTAGCCCCAGCTCTGCTCCTAATTCCAGCTGCTTGATAAAGATCCTGGAAGGCAGCAGGTAATGGCTCAAGTACTTGGGTTCCTGCCACTCACATGTGAGATGTGGACTGAGTTCCTGGCTGCTGGCTTCCTCTGGCTGTTGTGGGTATCTGGAGAGTGAACCAGCTAAAGAGAGAGATGTGTCTGCCCAAGGATATCTGGGCGTGGTCACTGCAAAGCTCCCAGGTGGGCTGAAACGGCAGGTGCACACATGGCCCACTGGAGACCCTCCAACTCTGAGCAAGCCTCTGGCCAGCAACTGAACAACAACCTGGCACCTGGACTCCCTGCTGCCAGCTTCGGAACTGGCTTTAACCCAACTCTTTTTTTTTTTTTTTTTTTTGACAGGCAGAGTTAGACAGAGAGAAAGGTCTTGCTTCCGTTGGTTCACCCCCCAGCTGGCCGCTACGGCTGGTGCTGCGCTGATTCGAAGCCAGGAGCTAGGTGCTTCTCCTGGTCTCCCATGCGGGTGCAGGGCCCAAGCACTTGGGCCATCCTCCACTGCCTTCCCGGGCCAGTAAGCAGAGAGCTGGACTGGAAGAGGGGCAACCGGGACAGAATCCGGCGCCCTGACCGGGACTAGAACCCGGTGTGCCAGCGCCGCAGGTGGAGGATTAGCCTAGTGAGCTGCAGCACTGGCCAACCCAACTCCTTTAAACAAACTCAATTCCGCCTGACCTCTGCAGAGGCTCCAGATGCCTACGGAGCCCAGCCCAGGCATTTAGGGTGTTATAGAATCTGGCTCTGTCCACCCCCTTCCCCCCAGACTGCCTGCCCCCTGCTGTGCTCTCTGCTACACTGGCCACCACTTCACTGGTAGCAGCAACGCTGGGACTGCCATCCTGCCTCGAGCTCCCAGTTCCCCCCACGGTCCCATCATGACTGGCGTCTGTCTCTGGGGTCTCTGAGGACCACATCTGAGTTTTCAGTGCCAGGGTCACATGGTGTCTGGCAATGTGGGTAGCAGGTGCCCATGAGGTTTTGCTGATTAAATGAATGACGGATGCCTTTACAACTTGCTAAAAAATAAAAAAGCTTAGTGAATGTGTTGAGGTTGTGTCGTTTTCACTGTGGCTCATTTGAAGCGGGGCACTGATGTAACAACTGAAATTGTTTTATTTTTTGCATTTGTTAAAACTGAGTGTCAGGTGTGCAGAGAGAGGCGGGTGGATGGCAGCTCAGGGAAGTCTCAGGCACGCACGCATGCACAGGGGCGCTCATCACGCCGCCACCACTCAGCCCAGGAGACCGTGCCTCTCTCCCCACCCCTCTCTCCCCACCCCCCAGCCAAGTAAGCCAGAGGAGGATTTTCAGTCTGGTAGGTAGGTTATCTCAGCTCTATCAGCGTCACCAGCCCTGGCTTCTCATTTCTGATTTCACTAAAAGCCATCCTTGAAGCCAGACAGAAGCAACAGGTGCTTCCTCTCAGAGCAACCTGCTGGGGTGCAGCCGTCCTAAGCAAGACCCGGGAGAAGCCTCCTCTCCTGGCTCGTTAGCGCTCCGGGCCACGCGGCTCCTTACCTGCATGTCGGAGTTGGTGAAGCTGCAGGCCGACAGGTAGTTGGTGTGCATAGCCACAGACTTCTTCTTGGCAGCCATGTTTTCATTTTTGTCAAACGTCAGTGGATACACAGAGCACTTATTATCCAAACCCCTGGCACAGGAAGACAGAAGTCTTGGGGTTAGGAGACGTGAGTGAACCAGTGGATGAATGACCTCTCTCTTGGTCTCTCCCTCCCTCTGTAACTTTCTCAAACAAATAGAAAAGTTAAAAAATTATTTTCTCCACCCTCCTTTCATACTTGCTTACCTTTGTGGGAATCAAATTCTATTTTGGGGGATGCAAAATAGGGCCCTCTCATCTGATAATGCCCTCTGTACCTACTGGCTGATGTTTTCTAAGAAGATTCACCCTCCCCCAGGGTCACTGTACACCAACAGATTCTTTGTTCTTTAATGATTTCATCTGATGCTCAAACTGCCCCAAATGTGGACATGGGGACCCTTGTGAGCCAGCTCCTGTTCATTCTCCTGTGACCCTATTGGTCCCTAAACATTCCCTACCTTCCGGAATAAGACAACGTCTCAGGCTCACTTACTCTCTTCCTGCCCCAGACCCTAAGATCAGCCTTAGTCTGAAGAGCCCCGCTTCCTTCTAGTGGGGATAGTCCGGATGGGTTGCTCTTTCCCGCAGCCCTGGGGAAGCCGGGGGACCCTTTGGCCTTTCCACCTGTTTGGAGTTGCCAGTGTGCAACTGAGAGCGCTTGTTATCAGTAATTAGCCTTGGCAGGCTCATTTATAGATGGCGTGGGCGAGAAGGATTCGCACTTGGGCAACCGCTTTCTTCTGCCAGGGGCCATGTGGAAATTTAGAACGTCATTCCTGGGCCATACAAGATTATCAACTTACAACTGAGCCTGCTACAGGTCTGTTGAATTTTGAGTCCCACCTGTGGTTGCAATGGCAGGGCCAGACCAGATGATTTTGCGGGCCTTACAGGGCCCTTGGGCAGAACGCTCCCCACCCCTGGGCCATGATAACGAAGCACAGTGGGGCCTATGCCTCCCCTGGCCCTCGAGGTAGGATGTGTCTCCCCCTCCCCACCACACTGCACTTTCAGATGCATTCCTCTGCAGCCCTACTGGCATACTTATCACTCAGGGTTATGTGCATCGCTATGAGACATTTTGTATTGGCTGTTGACTGTCTGCTGTAGGACCTAATTTTATGATCTTGGTTGTTTCATAGGTTCCCCAGGCCTCAGTTTCCCCAGCAATAAATGGAGCAAATCCTATCTATGGGTCCCATGGGGCTGCTGTGGCGATTATAGGAGGAGGTCAGAGGGACTCTTGGCACCTGATGGGTGCACAGGTCGTGGTCATTCTCCATTTTTTAATGTCTCTTCTTGCTTGCAGGAAGGAATTTTATTCATTAGTTCCACTGACACCTGAGCCCCTGCCTTGCCCACAGATGCATGCAGTAAGTGTGTGACAAATGAGAAATACTTATGATCACAATCAACTGACACATTTTTGGTGGGGGGAGGGGACTATGCTAATACTATGGGGGGGGTTAGCTTTCAAGTTTGGACCCAAATGAGAGATGGACTCAGTAGCCAGGCAGATGGAGATAAAATAGCCTGTTACTCTACAAAGACATTTAGAGAATGTGGCACAGGGGTGGTGCGATACTGGCATGGCTGGGAAGTGCTGTGCTGGAGTTACCAGTGGGAACTCGGATTCGGGGCAGCGGTAGCACTGCTGCTTGTCATGACTGCATCTCACACGGCAATGCCTGGATCCAGCCCTGGCTCTGCACCTGATTCCAGCTTCCAGTTAACGTGCCTCAGGGGACAGAAGAGCACCTGGGCCCCTTCCACCCAAGTGGTGCACCCAGACTGAGTTCCTGGCTCCTGGCTTTGGCATGGCCCAACCCTGGCTTTTTCATGCATCAAGAGGGGTGAACCAGTGAAAGGAAGATCGCGCTGTTTCTCTCCCCCGCCCTTTAAATAAAATGAAAATAAACAAATCAAAAATGTAAAAATGCGGCAATCAATGTCGTTCGTATGCATTTTCTCTGTTTTGGGTCATTCATTTCAAACAAGTTCCTAGATGCGTCACTAGATCAAAGCTGACACATTTCTGGCCACTTACCAACCTGCCTTCTGAAATGTCTACAGCAATGTACAGTCCCACCAACGGCATCGGGGAAAGCAAGCCAGGGGACAGGCCTGGAATTTGCTCCTGTCACTCTGTCATGAAAACACCCATGAGAGGGTCTTGGGGTTTCTTCTTTCCGGAAGCTCAAGGAGAAACTTAACACGTTGCTTCGTAAGCAACTGGATTGCAAGCTCTGGCCTGTTTGCTTGCTTTTGCCAAGAGAATGGTATTTTGTGGCTATCAGGAGGCCTTTCAAGCCGCTGCAGCCCCAACTTACCCACAAGCAATGGCACATCCAGATGGGGCGTAAGCACAGGCCATCACCCACGTGCAGGGCATCGTGACCGCATGCTCCTGAAACACAGCAGGTAGGGGTGAGCGTGAGAGCGACGCGGGCCACCACACTCCACGCTTCATGTGTAAGTCTCACAAAACGAAATCATCGGAGTTCCTGCCTGCAGGATGCACTCGGGCTCTGCTCGGAGAGGGAAGTGTGTGGTGCAGAGGGGCTGGAGGGTGACGAGGAGACCCAGCCTCCCCACCCTCAACCACGGAGTACGTCACGGACGTACAGGCTGTGCGGAAACCTCTCAGCCCAGCCACACCACTGGTCCCTAATGCACGGGCACCAGCGCTCCTGTCTCTAAAATCCAGCTCCAGGTTCCCTTGCAGAGACGGACTTGACCTAATTTACTTGGAGTCCTATTTTCCAGATAGGTTCTTGGGTGGCTTTTTCTATGGATACTGTTTGTTCACGTGTGGGTACACCAAGGCCTTTGCTAGCTGTGGGTCCTGGCACCATTCCTGGGCAGGTCTGAAGAGGAGGGGCGGGAAGGGGAGGGTGGCCTTGGGCTGTGGTCCTGCATGAAAGAGACCCAGCTGAACCGGAGCACTAAGGATTAGGCGCACCAGCCCCAGGCTTGCGGCTGAGGCACCCACATCCCCCTGCATGAAAACCACGTTTCAAACACACCTGTGGTCTTATTTCCGTGGGGGTGTGGCCCATGCTCCTGGTTCTAACACTAACGGGATGGGACCCCATGCAGGCTGGCCTCTTGTCCTGCCTGGCCCTCGTGCTGCCTCTGCGGCGTGGCTGGCATTGATTCCCAAGCCATGTTCAAGGGCAGGGCTTCTTTTCTGGTAGGATTCTCTGTACTTTTCCAGGTTTTGTGTTTTGCCACGATTCTGTCATCACACTCACACACCACATTCAGAAGCCTTTCAGGACGTCAAGACGCTGCCACCGCCGCCCTGTGTGTGTGTGTGTGTGTGTGTGTGTGGAGGTGGCTGCTCCCTCCCAGGACACCCCAGAGGTATGCCCCTTTCCCTACAGGTAATGGCCACCTTCCCTGCCAGCGGCCATGGGGCGCCCCTGCAGTGCTCCAGCGGTCAGTGTGTGCTCTCCACCACACCCACATGTACACAGAAACAACAAAACAGCACACAGTCCAGCATGCCAAGGGGTACGGGGGTACGGGGAGGGGCAGACGCTTGCATGGGCTTCCCCGCGGCTGCAGGCACCTGTGAGACAGCCCTGTGCTGATGAGCAAGTGGTTATTTTTATCATTTCCCAAGCACCTGCGGTTAGGGACCCTGCTCTGCAAAGCGGTTCTGGAGCCCCACTTGACTGGGTCTCGGAACAGTGGCTGGGCTGGCGGTGACACCACCTGACCAGTCAGAGCAAGGGAGAGCTGGGACCCTGCTCCGCTGGGACAGATACAGCCTCTTTGTTCTTTAAATGCAGAGTGAGAAGGAAGAGCTGCTGAGTAAACACTGGGATCCTATTGAATATGCAACACTCCGGACTGTGAATGCCCAGAGGTGCACACAGCTCTACAGGTGAACCCATGCGTAGACCGAAGCCTTGATCCTAAGAGTCTAAACTTAGATCTAATCTGAGCTGTGCAGGCCCAGGCCTTACGAGGGGCTTGGGATGATTTGGCCTCTCCCTGCCCTGCTACCGCACGCTCACTTCCACGGTGCCACGCAGCCTGGTCAAAGCCAGAGTGGGGAGACACAACCAAGGGTCTTGGGACTGTTGTCTTCATTCAGAAGGAAAATACACGATGCACTTGCATGTCTGCAGGTGACAAGTTTTCCACGGCTCGCCCATGGCCCGTTTCCTATCCACCCCCTCCAGGGTGGCCCTGCAGGCTCATGGGGTAGGGGGATCTCTCTGGGTGGGAGGTGGCATATGGAGAAGGAACCATGGCTACACAGGGCTGGCTGGGCTGCAAAGTGACCACCGCAGGGCACCTGTCAGCCCAGATAGGGACAAGGCCTCACCTTGTTGGTGGTGAAGGAATCCCACACGATCACCTTCCCATCCTGGAGGGAGAAGAGAAAAGAGGTCAGGAACTGTCCACAGGGTCTTACCGAGAGCTGCCCAGAATTCCTCACGAACACCAGTGGGGAGTGCAAGGCCAGAGTAAGTTTCTGTGAATCAAGACCCTTCAGCCTGCTCTCTAAAAGGGCAGGGAGGGAGGTGGCGCTGGGCTCTGCAGCCTGGCATTTCTTAGAGCTACGCATACAGACAACAGGGCCCAGATCCTCGGTTAATACCATTCATCAGCCAAGCACAGACGGCTGGTACATCACTGTTATCCTCCACCCCCTAAATGCCAAACAGCTACACAGGGCGAAAAAAACCAGAGATCACCTGTGGGCACTGGACAGGAAGTGATAAGCTCTCTCTCCCACGCCATCCCCACTATGCTGTCCTCTTGTGCGGTCCAGGTTCCCCGCAGCTGTGCACCCTAATGGCCCCCATTCTCTGTCCACTGTCTTCACGGACAGCTCTGGTGAGGGCTGAGTGGGTCCAGGGTCAGTTCCCCGCCTGCTGGTGCTTGGAGACATCGAAGCTCCCACTCACATGGAGGACGAGGTGTGCCGTGCACCTGTGATGGTGGGGAGCCCCGCAGGCAGCTGTTCCGTAAATAAACAGCGCTCCCTGCTGGGTGAGCGCCAGGCTGGTGACACACAGACAGCAGTGTCATCTGCTTGTAGCACGAACCCACCAGAGGGGAGCCCACAGAAGCCCTGACCCCTACAAAGCAGGGACCTGTCCAGAACATGACACAGGGGATCTGCGGGCAGACAGAGGGTCTCCGGGCAGCTGAGTTGTGTCTGTGCGTGAATCCCTGTGCACCCTCAGTGAAGGTCAACCTGCAGCTTCTACAGCAGGCTTGGTTTTTGCGTCAAATCTGGTGACTAAGGCAGAGAAGGTAAGGCTGGAGAAAACCCCTCCGGGACAGATGCCAGGCCGACTGTCAAGTGACATGGCTGCTTGCTCTGCACGATGTGATGTGAGATTTCTATATTAATGCTGTATGCGGCAGAGGGGCCGCAGAGTAAGTCAAAGTTGGTTTGGAACCTTTCCTAAGCACACTGGTTCTTCTCATTGATGTCTCTGACTCGGAGGCCACACACGATGTGTGGGGCAGACCAGGTAAGGCTGTCGTGCAGAGAACAGGGCAGGCGCTCAGCACCTGCACCCCAGGGTGCTCCTGCTTAGAGCCCCGGCTCCCTGAGCAAAGGGAATCGACAGCACACTGCCCATGTTGATGGCTTCCTTCACCTCACTGCCTGCCCACCCACCGCCCACCCACCACGTGCCTTCTGGGATCCTGGATCTACATGCCGGGAGAGAACGGGCCTCAGCCCACCTGGACAGGGTGACTCACCTCCTGCCTTGTAAGGGAGAAGGTGGCTGATGAGTCAAGTCTGTTCCAGAGCCTTCCTGTGCTCTCCCATCTCTCCCTGCGCTCACCCACGTCCCAGCTCTCTGGAGCAGAGGTGGGTGGACAGGGCATACCAGGGCACCACGGGCACCCTCCCTGCAACCTCCCTGCCCCCCTCAAGTAAGTGTGCTGTGTGAGCCACAGAAAACCCAGCGTGTAGCATACTTGCAAGGATTTAAAAAGTCAGAAAAGCTAGGGAGCAACGAGAACATCTCGATAGCCACTCTGTGAAAACAAGCATTTGGAAAAAAAATACAGGCGCTAGAAAGAAATGCTCTAAAATGGTAATGACTGTGACAGGGCAGTGGGGGAAAAATGGTGACACACATAACTATAAGTGGATCATGGGTGCAAGATGAAAGGCAAAGCAATGTGGTATTTGGGATCTGCAGGTAATGCAGGAAATCAGTGACCTCCATCTTACTCAACACAAAACTGACGGGGATGCCAGAGCCTGTGGGTTATCTGGAATGTGGACAGTTCAGTGCTCAGAGGGTTATTTTAAAAAACAAACCCTCTTTCACAAAAGCTGGGCAGAAGGCAGGGTGGGAGGAAACCCACACTGCTTGTGATTTATAGACTGTCTCATGGACTTCTGTTTATGGCTTTATGTCTTCTACACGTACCCGAAAAACAGACATAAAAAGCACCAAGCCGTGGGAGCCAGCCTCCAAGAGTCCCTGATCATTCCAGCTCCCTGGGCTGCTCATATGCTGCAGAACCTCCGTCTGCTTTATATAAGGTTGGTCCAAGGGACCAGCAGAAGACAGAGTGATGGCTTGTCACTGCCAATGCCAGCTCATCAGGGGGCAGCGCTGTGGTGTAGTGGGTAAAGCCTGCAGCACCAGCATCCCATATGGGTGCTGGTTCCGATCCCGGCTGCTCCACTTCCGATCCAGCTCACCGCTAACATGCCTAGGAAAGCAGCACACGACGGCCTAACTGCTTGGACCCCGTCACCCACATGGGAGACCTGGCTTTGACTGGCCCAACTCCAGCCGTTGCGGCCATTTGGGGAGTGAACCAGTGGATGGAAGACCTCTCTCTGTCTCTTCCTGCCCCTCTTTCTGTAACTCTGCATTTAAAATAAATAAAATAAATGCTTTAAAAAAAGGTTTCACTCACAGATGAGACCTTGAAATGTGCTCATGAAGAAATTCACTTTGCGGCTGGTGTTGTGGTGCAGGGGGTTAAGCTGCTGCCTGTCAGGTGCAGGGGGGCATCCTATTTGAGCACAGGTTTGAGCCCTCGCTGCTCCATGTCCAATCCAGCTCCCTGCTAATGTGCCTGGGAAAGCAGCGGAAGATGGTCCCAGTGCTGGGGCTCCTGCCACCCATGTGGGAGACTTGGATGGAGTCCTAGGCTCCTGGCTTCAGTCTGGCTCAGCCCTGGCCATTGCAGCCATTTGGGGATGTTAATTCTTTTTTTTTTTAATTTTTAAAGGTTTATTTATTTAATTGAATGTCAGAGTTAGAGAGAGAGGGGGAGAGAAAGAGACAGAGAATTTTCATCTGTTAGTTCACTCCTCAAATGGCCACAACAGCAGGATCGGGCCAGCCCAAAGCCAGGAGCTTTATCTGGGTCTCTTACATGGGTGGCAGGGGCCTAAGCACTTAGGCCATCTTCCGCTGCTTTCCCCAGGCCATTAACAGGGATCTGGATCAGAAGTGGAGTAGCTGGGACTCGAATACACAAAATGAATCTTTAAAAAAATCTTTAGGCTGGCGCCGTAGCTCACTAGGCTAATCCTCCGCTTTGTGGCGCTGGCACACCAGGTTCTAGTCCCGGTCGGGGCGCCGGACTCTGTCCCGGTTGCCCCTCTTCCAGGCCAGCCCTCTGCTGTGGCCTGGGAGTGCAGTGGAGGATGGCCCAAGTGCTTGGGCCCTGCACCCCATGGGAGACCAGGAGAAGCACCTGGTTCCTGCCATTGGATCAGCACGGTGCGCCGACCACAGTGCGCCGGCTGCGGCAGCCATTGGAGGGTGAACCAACGGCAAAAGGAAGACCTTTCTCTCTGTCTCTCTCTCTCACTGTCCACTCTGCCTGTCAAAAATAAAAAAAAAATAATAAATAAAAAATCTTTAAAAAAAGTAATTTTGAGCGGTTTATTAAGACGTCAAATGCAGTCTAGAGCATTTCAACTACTGCTAATTGCAAACCCACCTGCCTGGGTGAGGTCGACAGTATGCAAGAGAACTCTTTAGTCAAATCGGGTCGTTCAGACAAGAACCCAAGTCATAAGGCTCAGCGGAGGGGCAGTGCCCTGCGTCTCGGCTGTAGTGGGCGGAGCCTGCTCACCTGCTCCATGGTGGCCATACCTGGGACGAGCTCACGATCCTCCGTTTGTCCTTGCACCAGTCCATGCACAGGACCTTGTTTCCATGGCCCTTGAGTGTCCTCCTCGTCTTCATGACAAACTGGCCCAAGGCCTCCACCCGCTCTGCCACCTGGTGCACTGAAAGAATAAGGCCGTCGTCAATCATGTCAATCACGTTGTCAAGGGCCAGGCTCCACAGGAGGCGGTCCCACTTGCGACCTCAGTGTCACCATTCGGTTCGTGATCCCCTATTTAACAACACACCGCCGTAGAGGGCGGAGAGAACATAGCTGTTTTACCCTTTTGTTTAAGACTATGTTTTCCAAACCCTTCCCCGTATGTATAGTGCGGATTGAGCAACCTCATACTGCAAAAGGGCTGTACTCAGTTCTCCAGTTTAAGGGCCAAGGCTCTGAGAGGTAGGCAGGGCAGGCGGCAGAGGGAGGTGTGGTCTCCACTGGACAGGTGGGAAGTCGGCAGCTCGGATGTCATTGGCTAATACAGGTTCAGGCAACCAGCTGGGAGCCAGGCTGAGACTTCTGGCTCTTCTACCTAGTGCTCAGTCACGAGGGAAGCTGGACTGGACAAAACCATGTGTTAGGGCTGCAACGTGCTGCTCAATAGCAGGTCCTGTGTCTATGGGACCTCCGAGCTTGGCACAGGCCCACGATGCGACAGGTGCTGCACATGCCTGCTCTGGGAGAGAATGAGCGAGCAAAAACACCGAGTGAGCTGTCAGCAAATGGTGAATTTATTAAAAAACTTAGGAGCCACAGTGATCAGCGCAATATCCTAAAAGCCCCCCCACTCCCACCCTGGAGGGTAGGGAGCTATACCAGCTGCAGCTTGGGTGTCAACCTCTCAGCTCCCATCCTGAGGCCAGGGAGGGCTTTGTAGGGGCTCATGGGGAGGTGTGCCTGATGAACAGAAGAGCTACAAGTTCACAGGCTGTGGCTGGGAGGGCCTGCTGTGTGCAGGTGCTGGCGGGCCCTGGCCCTGCACAGAGCCCGTGGGGGAACCGCAGTTCCCGGGGATCAGGTCTGCGGCTGTGGCAGGTGGAGAAGCCAGGGCTCCGAACTCCCTCCCCCTCTTCTCCCTCCTGAAACCTCTGTGCTGGGCCTTGCTCCAGGCAGGTGGGGAGGAGGGCCGAGGGCACTCTAACAGGGTCAGCCCAGGAAAGCACTGTGGAAGCTCCGGGGACAGTGGTCCTCCTTCCTGCAGCGGGCGGACAGGGCTGAGGGGGCTCCCCTCGCGGTTTCTCTTACTTCTCCTTTGTTCGTTTGTTTCACGTCATGATCTAAGCCCTCTCGCTTCCCCTTACTCCCTGTCCCACCTTCTCCCATGCTGCCTTCTTCTGCCCTTCTCTCCCCTTAAACGCTCTGGTGTGACTTTTCTGAAAAACAAAGAACTCTCATAGAACCACAGTGCAATGACCACAACCAGAAAATCCACGCTGGAACCACACCATCCATGCGACGGCCGTCACCGAGATGCCCCGGTCCACGACACTTGCCCTTCCCAGCGCCACATGTCGCATTTCAGCTACCCCGCGTCTTTAAGGCCCAGTCACTCTGTGTCCTGGGTTGGGTTGGTTTTATCTGACGCTTCCTCATGGGGAGGTTTGGGCACGGCACCATCACTGGAACATGGCAGACTTGACGCCGAGTTCTTGCTCTGCAGCCTACTGAGGGCCGCAGCCCACTGCTGGGGAGGCGAACTTGGTCGCTGGGTTCAGGCGGCACCTGCCAGGTTTCTCCATCACAGAGCCACCCATCTACCGCTTGTTATGAACAAGCATCTCGTGGGGATGAGCTCTGAGAATATATACATAGCGTGTTGGCCTTCACACCTGAATACCCTTATTTCAACATCCATTAATGATTTTTGCTTGAACCAGCTATTGTGACGGTGACTGGCAAGTGGTGATTTTGTGAAGTCCATCATTCCTTCTGCATCTATGGCTTCAACATAACGGGGAGTGTCTCTTATTTACTTATTTATTTAATTATGTTGGCCTGAACTCACGAATTCCTACTTTATCCAACAGACTGTAATCCCTTACACGCTTGGGACCAGAATTATTTCAGATTTTTAGATTCTTTGATATTTTAGAATATTTACATACATATATATAAATATAATCAGATATCTTGTGGGTGGGATGACCCAGGGCTAAGCAAGAAATCCCTGTGTTTGCATGCATCACCCTAAGATAACGTTAGACACTATTTTTACTGCATTTTGAACATGACCTGCCACATGAGGTCAGCTGTGGAATCTCCCACCTATGACGTCATGCTGGAGCTCACAACGTTCTGGGTTTTGGAGCACTCTGGACTTTGGATTTTCAGAGTAGGAACGCTCAACCTGCATCCCCACTGCATCCACCGGAGGCGCCAGGTGTCCTGGTGGGCTGGCAGGAGCACCATCAGGCAGGTTTCTGTGACTCTCCCTGGGCACCGGCCCGCCACACGCCTGCTCGTCCGTTGGCCTGGGAAGGGGCCATTTCTCCAAAAGGTCTTGGTTCCCTTTAGTGGCCCCATTTTTAAGATGAAAGCACACAGGTGTGCAAAACAGTCTCTGTGAAAACACAAACTGTAGCAATCCTTGCTAAACTCGGAAGTGCTTCGAGAATGTTCAATTATGATGCCACTGCTTTTGCTAAAACATTGCATTATTTACTGCCACCAATAGTGCGTTAGCCTTTTATAACACTCTCTTCACAAAAATACACTGATTGAAGTTTAAAAAAAGACTGAATTCTTTGAACTCTTCCAGGCCTCTTCCACAGCCCGGCTCGGCTCAGAGTCATGAATACATTCGATTTGGCGGCTTACTTTGGAACTTCAGATGATCTTACTGCTGCTTCCTCCAATTTAGCATTAAGATAACCGTAGCTTTTAATGTCCGTCTTAAAAAAACAAAAGATGATTCATTCTAACTAAAATAGGGCTCCTGTTACATAACATGAATCTGAACACATCCCAACTATTAATTATTTTTTCTCACCACACTCTCCCTTCCCACAGAGAGATTCACTTCCAACCCACTCCATCCTGCTTCTATCTGCCAAAACTTATATATCTTGAATTAAAGAAAAAAAAAAATTCAGGGGCTGACACTGTGGTACAGTGGGTTAAAGCTGTCACCTGGGATGCCAGCATCCCACATCTGAGTCGCCACCGCTCTGCCTGTCATCCAGCTCCCTGCTAATGCACCTGGGAAGGCAGTGGATGAGGACCCAAGTGCTTGGGCCCCTGCACCCACCTGCCTTGAGCAAGGTACCTGGATGGTGTGTGGGCTACTGGCTTTGGCCTGGACCAGCCTAGGGCCACTGCAGCCATTTGGGGAGTGAATCGGTGGATGGAAAATCTCTCTCTTTCAGATAAACAACTAAACAAATCCTTTAAAAAAATAATTCACCCATCAGGCAGAACAACAGTCTGGAGATGAGGTGACGACCCCTGTGTGCTATCTGTGGGAACACAGCTCAGGGCGGACGTGGCTTCTTCCTGGCCTTCCTGATAGGCCATCCCTCCAGGACGTACATGTTCGACAGAAGTGCTGAATGCCGTCAGTGGGTTTCTATAAGAAGACTCTGCCAGAACATAATGGTACCCGGTAAGACATTCCACCACGTGGTGAACTGAGGAGACAGGGGTGCTGTTTTGCACTGCTTTCCCAGGAGGCATAACTGGAGCAGAGCAGTTAAGCATCCAGGTTCTGGACCGGGGCTGCCTGGCTGGGCCACACAGCAGCCACATGACCTTGCACGCCTCCTCCACCGTCCGGCTGCCTGGCTCCCCTGGTGGGGCTGCTGGGACGCCTGTTCCAGCCTGGCCCCACAGGAACACTTCCTGAGTGTCAGCTGTGGTCTTCGCCAGTGTGCACGGAGAGGGGACCCAGTCATCTTTATTGAAAGAATAAATGAGAAATGCTTAGTACGAGGGGTCTTCACAGAAAAATGTGTGCTATGAAAAAGTGATGCATGGATTTCCAAATACTGCACTAAAACAAGCCTAGCTCTTGATCCCAATGTTGCCTGAGCTTTTTGAAGTCGTTGGTATTTACTGAATTTCAATCAGCAGCAGTCGCAGGCAGCAGTTCTAGGAGAGCCAACAGAGCTCCCAAGCCCCTTTCTCTGCTTTTTCTGTACCTCTCCTTTCCCTACCCCCAACCCACCGTCCCAGCTGCGGGTGCCAAGCTACTCATCAGTTTATCAGGGTGAACTCACTAGCGCTGGGGGAGATGCAGTGGTGGCTGACGTTTCCTGAGCCAAGGAGCCCAGCATCCAGCCTTTGTCTTCCTTTTGGCCCTGAACAACCAGAGTTTTCTTTACTACACACAATCTTACCACCATGCGAAGACAGCTTGAGCTCTTCCCAGTTCAGTGTGTGGAGGCTCGGGGGCCACGTGCGAGTCTCTCCCGGCTACCCCTGGAGTTGAGGATCAACGGCAGGAGATGGAGCTACAAAGATGATTTCAATACAACGTGTGCCTCGCTGGGCTGGGAGTGTGGGCACAGGGAGCACTGCACGGGGCTTTTTGGGGTGATTTGGAGCTCAGCCTAAAGGATGCGTCAGACCAGCGGGGTAGGAAGTGGGCTGTCTACACTGAGGACGTGGAAAGCCCAAAGCCCCAAAGGTATGAAATCAACATCTGCATCAGAACAGACTGTGCAGGCTGAGTCACGGTGCCGCACACCCTAACGGAGCTCACGCATGCCCGGGTGACGGCAGCCTGCTCGCACGCGGTCCCCACAGCACTGACAGTCGATCGGCCTTCCCACGGACGTGGAAGGCAGCGATGGCGCAGCTAGCACTGCAGAACCTAGTAGGAGACTCTCCAGCAAACAGCCACCTGCTGCGTCACACTTGGCCGTGGTCCCTCCAAGATGTGCCTGGAACAGCCTGGAAGCTGCTCCAGCAGGGCCTGCTCCCTGGCCCCCGGATGCTCTCCTTCCCGTGTCTGGGAGCTGCGAGTCCAGCCGCCTCCTTGGCCGGAGCCCAGGAAGCTTGAGCCACTCAGTATTCTGGGATCAGAAGCTGACAGCTGGCTGGAACCCACGAGGAGCACTGAGAGGAGGAGTGGGCACTGGTGTGAGGTCTCCAGGGCCCCCAGCACATGCCAAGAATCCC